GGGGGGGGGGGGGGTGCCCTCAAAATCTGGGCCTTGCAATGGAACAAAGTTAACCTAGCATTTGATAGTGGAAAAAAGATAACCAAGCATTTGAATTCTACATGCAAGTGAAATGGTGGATAGTAAGGGATCTTCTACACACGTGTTAGCTGATCAATTCACAAGCGACTTACTGATTCCAGTGATCTTTGGATATTCTGTACAAACTATTAAACATTATAGGCAAGACCGAATTGGAATTTTCTTCTATTAAACTCATTATGTATTCGTTATTCCAAAAGTACAACGCTCTTTCGGCAACCTAAGAGAAACAAAATAAACTTGGAAATGTAACTAAAAATCAAAAGAAGGAATAAGAAAAAGTTTTTCTGCAAACCTGGAAATGTGGACTGGATACACATCTTGCAATTTGTTTGAAAAGGGGTGCCTGTATTTTGACAAATTGTTGTGGTTCTATTACATCTAAAATTTCTTCTATTTCACCAAGATACATCACCTACAGAATAATATTAGTGTTTTAGATTCACCTATACACGTAAAAACCTCACAACTTGTCAACAAGATGTGTTTCACAAGAAGATTGTAGCAAGCTTGTCAGCGAGTTGTAAAAATGCTGTTATTTTATCAAGTTGTTACAAGGTTCACTCCCAACTTGTTGGACCAACTTGTAACAAGTCTGTTGAGCTGTTGTCAACAAGCCGTTCAACAAGCCGTTGACAATTTGTCAACAAGCTGGGAACAAGCAGTGCGAACACATCCTGTTGACAAGTTGTTGGAACAGAATTGCTACAAGTCTGCTGCAGGTTTGCTATAACTAGCGCGTTTTTTCGTGCGTAATTTGGTCGGTTGGACTGGCCTTTGGGAAAAACCTTTTCAAGTAGATAATACTTGTAGGGCTGAAATAGCTAATTAATTTGAATCTAAAAAAACCCTAATTTTTTGCACAAGCCATTGTTTCCTCTTATATAAAAGAGTAATTTTAACCCACAATCGCTACTCTTCACGTTACCATGACAACATGACGTCACCATCTATATGGCCTATATCAACCAAAAAAAGCCGTCTTAGCGGACAAATAACCACGGTGATCAACCTTTTTTATTGCAGAAAATACATTGTTATGAAGTTTTGAAAGTTATTTGAAAATCGCCAGTGTAGTTTTTGAGAAACTGAATTTCAGCCTCTCCAAAGGCTAAAATGCGATCTTAAAGGTTGAAATTCAGTTTCTCGAAAACTACACTGGCGATTTTCAAATAACTTTCGAAAAAGATTCAAAACTTCATAACATGTAAAGTGAAGAGTAGTGATTGTGGGTTAAAATTACTCTTTTGTATAAAAGGAAACAATGGCTTGTGTAAAAAATACTTTTTTTAGATTCAAATTAATTAAATAGGTTTTAGTTTAAAACAATGACATATATTGGAAACTGCAGGGAGCCTCCTTGAGTCTGTTATTACAAGGCTTGTGTAGTTCTGCTGTATAAGTGGTATACAGCAATCGAACATTTGAGCGAAGTATTGGACTGCAGGATTTTTCTGTAAATCACTTACCTCTTTTTGACTGCTAGTTTTGGGCCAGTACCGCAGAAGACCAGTAATTACCTGAAAAAAATTGTGACTTTCAATAAAAAGGAATTTTGCATATGTAATTCTACGTTTTGAAGGATGTGTACAGGTTTTTTTCCAGGATTTTCTCTTGGGTCCGTTTTTGCAGAGAAGATTGAGTTTAGCTGAACAGCTGGGGTGGCTGCACCCCCCCCCCACACCCCCCCCTACCAGGGGGCTGACACCTGTACTCAATAAATGTAGTTGAGACGGAATGTGTTAAAGCAGGGGCACTAAGGGACACTATAAACTGGTTAAAGATGGCGAATGCATAGTTTTTCTTGTGTTGTGAGATGAATTCCAGCCATTTTTTCTTAATTGTCGGGTTTCCAACTGAAAACTAATTTCCACACGTCACAAAATTTAACTCAAACAACTTCATTTTTACTGCACTGAAACTTTGGTGAGAAGATCGAGTTTCAAAACTCAATTCAAGATTGAGTTTTTGGGGCCGTTTAACGGCCCTAAAAAATCCCTGAAAAAACCCTGGTGCAAGAAATGTTTGAGAAAACTGGCTTAGTGTTAAACACTGAGTCAGTTAGCCATTCCGAAGTTGATGAGAGGACTGGGGAAAAGTGTTAAAGAGTGCCTAAATTAAGAAATGAACCAAATCACTAAAAAGACCACCTCAAAATTAGTGAGTATACTGCAAAGTTTGAAGACGTTTACATGAATACCCTTCGAATAATAAGCTTTCACAAATTGTGAAATTACTGATTTTAAAAAAGATTGGTTTTGGTACGCGCGTCCCCAAAACAAAAATTACAGTACATTTCATCGGTAAATATCGCGATTTTCGAAAGCTTATTATTCGAAGGGCATTCATGTAAACGTCTTCAAACTTTGTATACTTACTAATTTTGAGGTGGTCTTTTTAGTGATTTGGTTCATTTCTTAATTTGGGCACTTTTTAACACTCGTCCCCAGTCCACTCATCAACTTCGGAATGGCTAATTCCCTCAAACATTTCTGGCA